TACCTCTATCGTGTAGATGAAAAACATGGGGTATTAAAGGTTAAGTGCTTGCCTAAGATCACTGAGACAGCTGGGATTTCAACCCCCAGGTTTCTCTGATTCTCTAAGCCCATTCTTTCCTGGCGGTGGGGGCACAGATAAGAAGGAGGAAATTAATCTTTTGTTGACTTTTTGAAAGGACGATAGGTTCACATAGTCCAAAACTCAAGATACAAGAGGGAAATATCTCCCACTCACACTGTTCCTCTCTCCTGAGTTTTTAATGAATCCTTACATGTTTTATGTATATTCCCATAATACACACACACAAATACACACACACACACAAAAACACATGTTCCCTCTCTCTACACAAACGGTAACATACTAAAGGTACTCTTCCATGCCTTCATGGTACAAATACCCTAACCCCTACCTAGGATTTGGCCAAGGCCACAGCCAGGTAAGGGCAGGGCGGGCACTTGGCCTCCGAGCTCTGTGTCCTGTGCTCACCCCCTACAGCACCCCCAACTCACCCACAGCAGCTGACTCAGCCCCAGCCTGCCTCTAACAACCACACACAAAAGCACAAAGAAATGGCCCATGCTGCCTTCTGGTAAGGACGCTCCATCCTGCAGAAGGGACCTTTAGACTCACTCCTCCATCTGGGAAGCCGATTGCCAGGGGATGGGGTAGGTTGTTGGACTCACCGTGTCCACCACCTTTTCCTGTGTGGAGACATCGGACGGAGCCTGCGTCAAGTCCTCCACGTGTTGGGAGGCATGTTGCAGGCAGCCGGAGAGGTATCTGCAGTCTCCTGGAAGGAGAGAGGGTGAGATGAGGCCCAAGGGACTCCCCCTAAAAGCCTGTCCAAGTGCCAGCTTGAAATGATGATGACGGGGTGCCCAGATTCCCACCTTCTAGCTGCCTGGCTGCATTCTTGCTGAAGTATAGGGCTCTCTCCAGGGCACCAATGGTGTGAGCCTGAGCCTGTGGGAGAAAAGCGGGAACTCCACACCCTCCACTCACCTCTACCTGCCTCCTGAGCGCTGCCTGATGGTGGTGGTTTGGCTTGTTTTCCTAGAGAAAGAGGAAGACAGAGCTCTTACTAGGGGGATGGCAGAGATGGCACAGCAAGACATGCCCCCAGAATGCCACCAATGCCCCAGGACAGGACCACCCATGGGACCAGGTTATCAGGGACCCTGTGGGATGGGGTGGAATCTGGGAGGTGAGCCTTCTTCCCCAGGATGGGAGTGGGCGAGACAAGGCTGGGGCCTCTACATCTCAGTGCCCCCAAACCCAGCAGTCATGTCAAGGGCAAACGAAGAAATCACATTACTTTATCCAGCTGAGCTCAGTTCTGTTGTTTCTATGGGGAGAGTCAAAGGAAGGTGACTGAGGGTGGCCCACTTGACTCTATTCCCCAGGCCAGGAAGCAGTAGGCAGGGGCCAGGAGTGGAGTTTAGAGTCAAAGTTCTCAGACCCAGTGGGGACATAAACTAGTAAACTCTCCTCAAGCTCCCAAAGAAAGAGGATTTGGGTCTTTATTGGTTTTCACCCAGAGCCACAGAACTGAAAGTCTGAAACTAGATTCTCTCCAAAGGAGAGTCACATCATCTTCAGAGTTGGAGTGTGAGAAAAGCCCACCCTTCTGCCAGCTTGTGATTTACAAAGGTGCATTCATTCAACAAACATTGAGCACATACGGGCCAGCTACAGTTCTTCACAGTGGGGATACGGGACGGAAAAGGCAGACAGGAGCCCTTGGCCCCAAGGTTTCCACTCTCGTTGGCCTTGAAATCTTGGACTCTCAGAGCTAACAGAAACCTATGATACTCTCTAACTCCACCTCCTCAGGAAACACAAGCCCAAGGAGGAGAGGTGTTCAGAGCAGGTCCCGTACTAGGGATTAACATAAAAACAAGAACAAATCTCATTGAAACTTCACAAATGTAAGTAAAACAATATCACCCCTATTTTACAGACGTAAGAAGAGAGAGGCCCAAAGAGCTCAAGCGATTTGCCCTAAATCATATCCCTAGCAGATCTAGCAATAGGCTCTAAACCCAGGATTCTAAACCAGTACCCGGCAGTTACTCTCTACTTAACAGTTACCCTCTTAACAGTTACCCTCTACTGTCCCTTGGGCCCTCTGTCCCCAGAAGCCTGGCCACCCAAGACTCACATCCTTAGGTGAGTGGCAGCCAGCAGAAGTTCTTATCTCAGGGTCACTGCCATTATTTATTTGCCTGTTGGTGTCAGTTACTCCTGTCCCAACACCAGGGCTGTTGTGCTGATGATATTCTCCTAAAGTGCTGGGATTACAGGTGAGAGCCACCACACCTGGCGCCTACTTCACAGGTTTTACAAAATACTCTTATAGAGCATCTGATTTCATGCCACCAACAACCGTACAAGGTGTTATCTCAATCGGTGACTAAGAGGGACTGATGCCTTGGCTAAAACCAAGGCAATAATGGAACTTAAACTCAGTCTTCTGACTCCGACCTCTGGGATTTTGCCACAAATCAGTAGCTGCCAAGGACCAAAACCAGAGGCAGAGGTAGAAAAATCAATACGAAGTAGGCAGGAATGGTACACTGTGTGGTTTAGAGTCATACATCCTCACACGTCTGTTAGTGCTAAGAAGGGCACCAGTACCTTTCCAACTTTTACATCAGTGTATCCTCATGGCAGAAGGCAGCTTTTCTCTTAAATCTGAGAATTTAACAGGAAGAGGACAACCCAAGCCTCATTTCAGAGCGACATCTGGTATACTCTTAGAAATCTATGTGACTCTCATCCCTAAGTCCATAATGTTTTGTCTCTCTCAAGAGAATCAAGGGACACTGATGCTTCAGAAAGATGCCCCATATTTACCCTGTGGCACCCAAATGACCCCAGGTTGAAATGAGATGAGATTCAAGCTGTCAAGTTCAGATTCCCAAGATCTGTTCCACAGAAGAGAAGCAGATCTCACTCCAGAAACCACTGACTGGAGGGCACCCTGGCCCCAGAGCCATGGGGAATTCAGACATGAGGTGGAGAACTCAGAAAAAATGTTAAAGTCTCTCTGGAGAATAGAAGCCTGGGAGAAAACCAAACCAAACCCATTCTCCCATCACCACTCAGAAGAGACACTGTCAACGTTTTGAGCTCACAGGGGAGGTGTAGGCTGTTCACACTGTCAACATCTGTGTTAAAGGAGTAAGGCAGCCTGAAACCTCTCACTGCTAGGTCCCACGGTCCCCATTTCTCTTCCAGCTGAAAATCTCTGCTGCCACCAGAGGAACCAAAAACAGGGCAAGAACAGTTATGGGATTGGGTCCTAAGATCAGGCCAGTCTAGTGGCAGTAATGACAGTTCCTGGGGGACTGTGACGTCACTGCATTCTACTTCTCCGTGGGGTAGGGGGGACACATCAGTGTGATGCCTGAGTTGCCACTTTGAGATGGGGTGGGGGGCACAGGGCCGGAACCCAGGTCCTTAGAGACACAAGCCCAAACATCCCACAGAGCTCAGACTTAGGGTGGCAGGAGGTGAGGGCTGAGTATGGAGCAAGAGCACCAGGAGTCACCTGCCCAAAGTCACCCTGAGGCAACTGGTGAGAGCAGGCACTGGGGGACCCAGGTTCTTGGAGATGCCAGCCCAAAGAGCCCAGGGAGGCCAGGTTTGGGGCAGCAGGAGGCGAGGGTAGAGTACAGAGTGCTGAGCTCTGGGAGTCACCAGCTCAAAGTCGCCCTGGGGCGACTGGTGAGAGCAGGAGCAGGACCGCTGATGGTGGGGCTGGCTGACAAGGTTTTGGTGCAGGGAGCCCAGGGGCACTGGGGAGCCAGACCGGAGTGCCTCAGGAGTGGCACAGACTCTGGCAGCAGTTCTCCTGTCAGAGGGGGCCTGGGGCTGGGTTAGGGGGCCGCCACCTGGTGTGTTTTACCTTTTCCTTGGCCTTCGCCCATTTGCTCTCTCTTTCTTTGGCCATCTTAGGGTGGGGAGGGACGTGGGGCTGGGAAGGGAAGTGGGGTTGGGGAGGGACGTAGGGTTGGGAAGGGACGTAGGCTTGGAGGAAGACGTAGGGTTGGGGAGGGAAGTGGGCTTGGGGAAAGACGTAGGGTTGGGGAGGGACGTAGGGTTGGGGAGGGACGTGGGCTTGGGGCCACATCAGCGTGATAGAGGACAGTGAGATATGTCCTGTCACCTACCATTGCAGCTGTGTGACCGAGCCAGAGGAGGCTAACCAGGGCCTCACTAGAACCCAGATAGGGGTGTGGCCTGAATGCTTCAAGCTCATTGGTCAATGAGAAAGATAAAAGGGAATGGAGGCGTGGCCAGGCAGTGGTGTGTCATGAGGGACCTGTGGTGTCACAATGAAGGCTGCCCGTGCACCAGCTGCCCCCGCCCACTCCAGGTGAGGGTCAGGGCTGGGTTTCACTTGAAACACTTTAAAACTTTATTACCTCAAATCTATAGCATGCTTGACGATGACCAGACTGTATTATCCAACATTCCAACGAGATGAAATAATCACAATGATTTTTTTTTTTTGGAAAAGTTTCTTTTAGTCTCCTACGTTTTTAATTTTTTTTTTTTTTTTTAAAGATACATGTCTTCAGGGCATGGTGGCTCACGCCTGTAATCCCAGCACTTTGGGAGGCCAAGGAGGGAGAATCATGAGGTCAAGAGATCGAGACCATCCTGGCCAACATGGTGAAACCCCATCTCTACTAAAATACAAAAATTAGCTGGACATAGTGGCACACACCTGTAGTCCCAGCTACTCGGGAGGCTGAGGCAGGAGAAATGCCTGAACCCGGGAGGCAGAGGTTGCAGTGAGCTGAGATTGCGCCACTGAACCCCAGCCTGGGGCCCAGTGACAGAGCAAGACTCTGTCTCAAAAAAAAAAAAAAGAAAAAAAGAAACACGTCTAACATCTTTAAAAACACAAAGCTTTTGAGCCAGGCATGGTGGCTCATGCCTGTAATCCCAGCACTTTGGGAGGCTGAGGTGTGTGGATCACCTGAGGTCAGGAGTTCAAGACCAGCCTGACCAATATGATGAAACCCTATCTCTAATAAAAATACAAAAACTAGCTGGGCATGGTGGCAGGAGCCTGTAATCCCAGCTGCTTGGGAGACTGAGGCAGGAGAATTGCTTGAACCCAACAAGTGGAGGTTGTAGTGAGCCAAAATCGTGCCACTGCACTTCAGCCTGGGCAACAGAATGAGACTCTGTCTCAAAATAAATAAATAAATACACAAAGCTTTCCACTTAATAAGCATTCAAAGCTCTTTACCAGTTTAAAACAAATACAAGACCCTCCTAAAGTAAGGCCGAATGCTAACTGATGGGGGAGAGAAAAAGGACATAACTCCTACTCTCATGAGGTTAATCACTAAATCCTATTTTTCTAGAATCATCTGGCCTCTCTAAGTCCTGTGAATAAACAGAATTTCTCACTTGATACTGGGCTATGATTTGCAATCATGAAAACCAAGAACTGTGTTATGTCGCTGTATATTGCTTGTTACCTGAATTCCACATTAGGCTGGGATCAAGGGTTGACTTTTTCATTATTTGCTCCATTACCTGTGTGCTTTTATCCCAGACCAAACTAAGCTGTTTTCTAGAGTTCTACAATTTACAGTTAGTTATATAAGAGTGGTTCTCAAAAATGCAGGCTTTGGACCAGCAGCACCAGCAGCACCTGGCAACTTATTTTAAATGCGCATTCTCAGGCCCCACCCTAGACCTGATGAATCACAAGCTCTAAAGTAGGGCCCAGAAATCTGTGTTGCAATAGGCCCTCCAGGTGTTCAGGAACCTCTGGCATACAGCAGGTAGAAGAAGGTGTTTCCTTCCGTAGGTCCAAAGCCAGGGATCCTGCATGTTTTGTCTCAATATGAAACAATGACATGAAATGAAAAGATAGAAATCTCCTTCCTACTCCCACCCTCCAGCCAATGTGTTTTATTCATATGAATAAAATAAGAAAATGAGCAGCAATCAGAGATTTTGTCTAAAAAGTATACTTACAGCCTGATTTTATCCAATATCATTTACATCCTCTTACATTGAAAGTTTTAGGAAAGGACCTCACAATGGAAGACTCAGGCACACTAGGAGTTCTATCATAAAAGACCAAGTAGAGCTGAATGTCCAAACTTACTAGAGAAGAAAAGGAGAATCATTGGCCATATTTTCACATTGCATTCAACAGGAAATTGAAGTTTTGAATTTTTATCACCATCATTCTTCCCAGTTAATAGAATTAAACCAGAATACTCCACTCTTCCAAAGCCTCTAGCCAGGCAAAATTTTACTGTATTGCTTCCTGCTTTTCAATGGTTATTAAACAGAGTCCTAGTAGGCACACTTTATGTACCTGCAAAGACCCAGAACTAAACAGTTCCATCTGTTCAATATTCAAACAAAAGTCCTGTAAACCACAGATAGTGAGTGGAATACGTCAGCACTAGCACCAAGGCCTCAGATAGAAAAAGATACCAAGAACACCACCGGCAAACAAAAGTAAGCCCTTGGCTGGGAGCAGTAGTTGGCACCTGTAATCCTAGTACATTGGCAAGCCAAGGTGGGAGGATTACTTGAAGTCAGGAGTTCAAGACCAGCCTGGGCAGCATAGAGAATTCACATCTCTATATAATTTTTTTTTCCTTATTTTTTTATTTTTATTTTTATTTTTTTTTTTTTTGAGACGGAGTTTCACTCATGTTACCCAGGCTGGAGTGCAATGGTGCGATCTCGGCTCACCGCAACCTCCGCCTCCTGGGTTCAGGCAATTCTCCTGCCTCAGCCTCCCGAGTAGCTGGGATTACAGGCACGCACCACCATGCCCAGCTAATTTTTTGTATTTTTGGTAGAGACGGGGTTTCACCATGTTGACCAGGATGGTCTCGATCTCTTGACCTCGTGATCCACCCGCCTCGGCCTCCCAAAGTGCTGGGATTACAGGCTTGAGCCACCGCGCCCGCCTATAATTTTTTTTTGATTAGCTGGGCGTGGCAGCACACATCTGCAGTCCTAGCTACTTGGGAGGCTGAGGTGGGAAAAATCGCTTGAGCCCAGGAGTTCGAGGCAGTAGTAGCTATGATCATGCCACTGCACTCCAGTCGGGGTGACAGAGTGAGACCTAGATAATTGCATCTGTCCTGCTCCTGCTTACACTAAAACCACTAAGTTAAAACACTTTCATTCAGCAGAATAAAAATTAAGTGAAATGTGACTTTGGTGCTTGGCTAGCAAAATCAATCAATATAAAACAAAAAATAAAGTGAAATGAGAAATCACTTACTGGGAGAAAGTCTTTGTAACCTCAATGACAGATAAAAGGTTTGTATCCTTAGCCTATAAGGAAATCTAAATTTCTCAGAAGAAAATGAATCATTTCCAAGATAAAATAACCATTCTTGTGGGAAACAGGCACTTCCCACAAGAATACAAATGGCTAATGAGCATATGAGAAAGATTCAAAAGCACTAGAAACCAAAGAAATGTAGTGAAAACAATGAGAGTTTCTGCTTAAAGATCAGCAAAGATGACAAACGGAAGGGGGGTCCTGGAGCTCTGTCCCTGTTGCTGGGAGGATAAACTGAAGCAACTTTCCTACAGGATCATTTCAACATTTCTATTAAAAACCCTAAAACTGTTTTATACTGTTTTCCACCAGAAATTCTACTGGTATGAATTCATTCCAATAATATTTGCTTGAGTATAATAAATGTATATAGAAAGAAATTCACCTCTGAGGTGGCAATGATTCATTAAATATACATCCAACTATTAAAAATTATAATGTCAGGATATATTTCTGCCATAAAAATATGCCCAAAATATAGTCAGTGACGAAAGACTATATGCTATGATTCTACTTTTAAAAATGTTTATATGCATAAAAAAGGATAAAAAGCAAAAAACCAGAATGTTTTGAGTGACTAAATTAAAGATTTTTCTTTATATTTTGTCATCCAAAATATTACAAAAGGAAGGTGATTTCCTTTATAACCAGGGAGAATTTATGTCACTTTTCTTTCTCTTTTTTCTCCTGTATGTATCCCAGGTAGGCTAGAGAGCTTGAATCCCTGCTTGACGAGGTCAGTCAGCCCATTTTTGGGCCATGCAGTACACAAAGGTGCCCCATCATCCTTTTTATATATTTTTTTCTCCTTCCTTCCTTCCTTCCTTCCTTCTTTCCTTCCTGTGCACAAAGGTGCCCCATCTTCCTTTTATATTAATTTTTCCCTCCCTCCCTCCCTCTCTCCCTTCTTCCTTCCTTCCTTTTTTTTCTTTTGCTCTTGTTGCCCAAGCTGGAATGCAGTGGTACAATCTTGGCTCACTGGGACCTCCACCTCCCAGGTTCAGGCAATTCTCCTGCCTCAGCCTCCTGAGTAGCTGGGATCACAGGTGTCCACCACCATGCCCGGCTAAGTTTTTGTATTTTTAGTAGAGACGGGGTTTCATCATATTGGCCAGGCTGGTCTGAAACTCCTGACCTCAGGTGATCTGCCTGCCTTGGCCTCCCAAAGTGCTGAGATTACAGGTGTGAGCCACTGGGCCTGTCCCCATTTTTTTTTTATTTTACAAGGTCTGGAAATGTTTTTGTTTTAAATTCTTTTATTGTACTCAGAGTATTTTTTAAACTCTATGAAATTGAGGAAAAGACAAAGGAAAGGCTGATTCCCTACCTTCCTGGGGCAACTCTTCCAATTTTTGCTTCTACTGCTATCTATAAATATACATTGAGTATTAAAAAGACGGGCGGTCCCTTAGATCTTCTTTTCTTAGCTCTTTCTCATAATCCCACTTCATTCCTTCATTCACTTATTATTATTATTATGTTTTGAGACAGAGTCTCACTCTTGTTGCCCAGGCTGGAGTGCAATGGCACGATCTCGGCCCACTGCAACCTTCGCCTCCCGGGTTCAAGTGATTCTCCTGCCTCAGCCTCCTGAGTAGCTGGGATTACAGGCACGAGCCACCACGCCCAGCTAAGTTTTTTGTTTGTTTGTTTGTTTTTTGGTAGAGACATGGTTTCACTATGTTGGCCAGGCTGGTCTCGAACTCCTGAAGTCAGGTGATCCACTTGCCTCGGCCTCCCAAAGTGCTGGGATTACAGGCGTGAGCCACTATGCCTGGCCCAATCTTTTCCTCGTGTGCTCTTCCCCCTGGGTTATTTTAAAGCTAATCCCAAACATATTTTAGTATTTATTATTATTATTATTATTATTATTTGAGAAGGAGTTTTGCTCTGTCACCAGGCTGCAGAGTGGTGGTATGATCTTGGCTCGCTGCAACCTCCGCATCCCAGGTTCAAGCAATTCTCCTGTCTCAGCCTCCTGAGTAGCTGGAACTACAGGTTCGTGCCACCACGTCTAGCTAATTTTTCTATCTTTTTTTTTTTTTTTTTTTTTTTTTTG